TACATTTTATTCCTAGGGGTTTTTTGTTGATGTTGTTGATGTTGTAATTGTATATGGGATTGTTTTCTTGATTTCACTTTCAGTTAGTTCATTATTGGCTCATAAAATGCTATTAACATTCCTGTGCTGCTTTTTGGGGGCTCCCTGAGGAGCCCAGGCTGGCCTCCAACTCACAGCGACCCTCCTGCCTCAGCCTGCTGAGTGCTAGGATGACCGGGAGCCCCACCACACCCAGTTCTGTGGCACTTCTGTACCCTACCACTTTACTGAACTTAGCAGTTCTAAAAGCGTTTTGGTGAAATCCTTAGATTTTCCTGTAACAAGACCATTGTGTGTACACAGGAATGACGTCACCCTTTTTAGTTTGGATTCCCTTTTTTTATTACCATCTGACAGCTCTGGCTGAGACTCTCTAGCACCATGTTAAGAGAAGTAAAAATAGGCATCTTGGTCTTATTTCAAATCCTACCAGAAAATCTTCAAAATTTCTCTCTTTATATATATATATATATATATATTTTTTTTTTTTTAATTTAAGGAGAAAAAGAAAAAAATAGAAAAAGGGTACAAGTTATACAGAATTTCAGAAAACATAAACAGTACGAAATCACTAGTTAATAGATTATATATTGTTATCTTAGAAATAGTTGTTCAAGTTACAAAATTAAAGCATATAAAGTGGACTTTCAAACAGTGAGACTGGGAACACTTTTGTTCAATGATCCAACAAAACTTAGTAATATGGTTATCTATCTTATACACTTAAATATATATGCAGTTATATTCTTTAGAGCACTTTCTTTTCCTCTCTTTTGTACAGTGACAATTACACATTTTGGGTTTTATTACTCCCAAAATCTTCCAAATTTCCCTCACATAGTCTTGCCCTAACTGTGGTTGTCATCCGCAGCCTTCACTGTGGCTTCTCTCTGTACTAATTAGCTGGGAATTTTTGTCATGAACAAATGCTGCATTTTCTCAGACACTTTCTCTGTGCCTATCGGGCAGTCACATTGTCCTTCATTCTGTCAAATGCTGAGTCAATTCACGTTGCACTGTGATCACACCACTGGATCACAGTATGTAACCCTTCTTGCAGGCTGTCAGATTCAGTTTATTAATATCTTAAGGGTGTTTATTTCTATATTTATTGGCCCATGGCTTTCCTTTTTGGTTGGGTGTTTGTCTGGTTTTGCTATTGAGATACTGCCGGCCTCATGGAATCAGTGTGAAAGTTCCTCTTATTTTAATGGTTGGAATAATTTGCAAAGAATTGGAGTCGTTCTTCAAGTGTTTGGGAGAATTCAGCGGTGAAGCCCTGAGGTTCTGCATCTTGCTTTGGAGGGAGACCCTGTCTTACTGCTTCATCCTCAGTACTGAGTATTGATCTGTTTAGATGCCTTTAGGTTTCAGTGATGGTAGAGTGTACGCATCCAGGAATTTACTCATTTCTTAAGGCTTTCTAACTTATGGGTGGATAATTGCCTATTGTAGTCCTCACGATCCTCTGCATTTCTGTGTCATTGTTTGTGATGGTTCCTGTTTCACCTTTGATTTGAGTCTTTTTTTCCTATATCCAACAATAAAGATTGTTGATTTGTCTTTTCGAAAAATCAGCTTGTTTTGTTGAGGCTTTGTCCTTTTTAGTCTTTATTTTTGTTCAAATCTTTACTATGTTTTTCCTGCTGCCAACTTAGTACTTAGGTTATTCTTGCTTTTCTTCTGGTCCATCCCTTGAGATATATTATTAGGTTATTTATTTGCAAATTTTCTACTTTTTTGATGTAGAATTCTTTGGATTAAACTTCTGTCTTATTACTGCGTTGCCTCTCATAGGTTTTGATGTCCTGTATTTGTCTTCATTTGTTTCAGGAAATGTTTTAATTTCTCTTTTAATTCTTTCACTGACCCATTGTCATCCAGGAACACACTGTTTAATTTCCATATATTTGTACAGTTCCAAAGTTCTCTTGCTATTGGTTTTCAGTTTTATGTTATTTTTGTCAGATAACACGCACACACACACACACACACACACACACACACACACACGACTCCCTGTGTGGCCTGACATGATGGAAGGACAGAAGGACAGTGCCCCACCTGGTGATGAGAACGAGGTCTCCCCTGCAGGTACTGGATGAAGCAGTCTTTAGATGTCTGTTGGATCCATTTGGTCTGGGTGTGTTTTATCCCTGGTGTTTGTTGGTTTTCTGCCGAGTTTGTCTGATACTGAACGTGGAACATCGAAGTTTGAAACTACATTGTGTCAGCCATCTTTCCCTTTAGACCTCACACTTGCTTCAAACTTTGGATATTGTGGTTTTGGGTCCGTATATAGTTGTAATTGTTGTATCGTCTTGAATTTTTTTCTTTAAAAAATACTCTGTCAAATATGGCAAAACAAGGCTGTAAGTCAAAACCAAGGATAGACATAGCACATGATGCAGAACAGAGTACAAGGTTATTAACAATGGTTATCAACATTGTCTCTTGTTTCCTTAAAAGGAATTGTCTATCTCATTAGATATTATAAAGTTGGACAAAACAGTGGAGAACAAGACCAATAAAACTTAGGCATTGTGAACATTACAGGACTTCCAAAGGAGACAATAGTCAAACCAGAATGGGCATCTTTGTGAATCTTATTGCCTTCAAATTAGTTGCCTATACCCTCAGACTTGCTACTATCGCACAGAATGGAACAGAGTCTAATCAGTCAAAACAAGATCTTGGGAGTATTACAGGACTTCAAAACAAGTTAATAGGAGATCAAAAAGAGTTACTACTATATATCCTAATTTTTTAAATTTTTCCCTTAATTAAAATAAACATAAGATTCTCTCCCCCCGCAAAAAAGTAATAAGAACTAAGGAGTAATAAAATCCAAAATGTGTAAATTTTGTTGTAAAAAAGAGAGGGAGGGGAAAAAAAAAGAGCTCTAACGGATATAACAGCAAGTGTGTTTAGGGATGTTAAATAGCTGACTATATTAATGTTTTTGGATCATTGAACACAGCTGTTTGCAGTCTCCCTGTTTGAATGTCTACTTTGTATTCTTTGATACTGTGATTCGAGCAACTATTTCCAAGATGATAATATGTAATCTATTAACAGGTGATTTCTTACTGTTATGTTTTTTTTTTTTTGTAGTTCTGTATTATGTGTAACCTTACACTGCTTTGTTTTGTTTTGTGTTTTTCTCTTTTTCCTCTTAAATAAAAAAAAAAATACTCTGTCTCTTTCTCCAGGTCTTGATTTGGCATCTAGTTTATCTGATATAACATTGTAGCTACTGCAGATGGCTTTTGGCTTCTGTTTGCATGGAATATCATTTTCCATCTTTCACTTTCAGTCTGGGGGGTTTTACCAGTAAAATGATTTTGTTTTATGTAATCCTGTGATCCTCTTGTTGTTTGTCTTTGTAAGTTCGTGCTGTTCTGCCATGAGGTTTGATCACATTTATGGAACTGTCACATCTGTGAATTATACTTTTGTGTGTCTCTGGTGTTAGTTATCACCTGTTAACGTACCTGAAGCTTTTAAGATTCCCTTAAACTTGTCTTTTAAGGTGAGTCTAACTGCGACAGGCTCCCTTAAGTTTTGCTCATCATAGGTGGCCTGGTTATTTTTTTAAAACTACTTTGTAAAGATAGTTATTTGACGCTTTGGATTTCTTTTAAGAGTTATTGGTACGCTCAAATTTTCCACTTCTCAAAAAATGTTGGTAATTTTTCTTTTCTTTCTCTCTTTTTCTTTTCTTTCTTTCTTTCTTTCTTTTTTTTTTTTTTTTTTTCAGACAGAGTCTTGCTGTGCAGTTCAGGCTGCCTTGAGCTCACTTTGTAGCCCAGGCTGGTCTTGAATGTGCAACAATCCTCCTGCCTCAGCTTTCTGTGTGCTGGGATTACAGAGGTGTGCCACCACACCTGGCTGGTAGTTTTTCTTTATGACAAAGTTGTTCTGTTTGTCTTTAAAGACATTCATATTTTATCCTGTCACTGCTTTCTTTTTTAACCTCCTCAAATTTACCTTTAATCAAATTTACCTCAAATTTACCTCTAAATTTAATCAAGGGTAATCAGTCAAGAATAAATGCTTCTTGGCATGCTGTTTTCCCAACCACTGTATGTACCTTGAAGCTATGTTTTCGATCTTTCCTGGCCTTTTGGCATCTTCAGATCTTAGCGCTAAGTTCTCCTCCTCTATGAAATCTCTTCTGTCTATTCTAACTGTGCTTTCTTTTTAACCTGTCCCTCATTTACAAGTTTTATTGCTAGTGATATTACTATACTATATCATTTACTACTGCTTTATGGATACTAATCATATCTAATAATCTGGCCTAGATTTTTGTTTCATATTATTAAATGAAACACAGTCTATATCTAATACAAAAAATATATAAAAAATGGAAAAAAAGGGAAGGTCCTGAATTTGGTTTGTTGATGAGATTCACAAATTATTCAATTTATTTTTACACATGCATATGTACATTTTGAAATTCTGGATATATCTATTTTAATAAACAGGTATGAACTTCATTTGAGAGCATTACCTAGGAAAGCAATATTATTTTTACGAGGTAATCTGCTGTTACCGAGAACTATTCTGCCCTACATACTGTAGACTAAAATCTCTGTTATAACAAAGGACTTTTTTCTCAGTATTAAAACTTGATATTTCTACCTATATTTGGGGAAATAAATTGTACATGAGTACAAAGGTCAAGTTTTAGAGGGGAAGGAGATAAAAGTGGACAGTATGAACCTAGCCAAATCTTTCATCTTCTCTGTTTTCTTTTTTGTAAAGTAATGAGAATATCCATCTCAGAGAAAGTTTTCTGAGGATTAATATGTTATATTTCAAAGTATTTAAAGAACCAGAAAGCCGATAGCTGTGATAAATACTCCAAAGATAAATAGTCAATTGCGAAGTAGTTGTCCAGATTCACATAGAAATGAATATTTTCTGAGACTGTTTTCTGTTTCTCTGCCGCTCAGGCCAAACATTCTCAGCACAGACAAGGACTCCAGAGATCACTGCGTTCTTTCCTCTTTTCTCCTGCACTCAGCAATCAATCCCATGCTTATGAAAAGGAAAAAGATTCTACTACATTTATAGGTATACAATTGCAGATTTAGATCAAAATAATTTATTAAAGTGACCTGCATCAGAATTTGGAGTTAAGAAACTTTCCCCAAGGAAATGGTTGCGATTTGATCAGAGCACCTTCCGGTGTCCCTGCCTAGCAGCAGCTGAAGATTCTGCCCCGCAGCCGGGATGCACAGATCCCTTGGTGTGTCGTGTGTGACCTTTCGAGCCCTTCATTCTGTCTGTTTAACCTTCCACACCACCGTGACCCTCTACCAGGCTGTTCCAAGTACTATGAGAGCTGATTTATTCTGTTCTCTGTGCTCTCAAAGTCTGACGACAGGAACCTCAAACTAAGATATTTGTTACTTCAGATAACAAGAAGTCTGTGGGTCAGGCAGTCCTGGGCTTGGTTGGTGCAGTCTTAATGACCTCATCAATGTCCCTTCTTGCGGCTCTTCCCACTGCCTTCACAGCTTCCCCGAGACCCGCTGCACGCCATGGTCCCCACCATTTCAGACAGCTGTGGGTGTCAGCATCGGCTGAGGAGCAACAGCTCTGTCAGCTGTGTAATAACAGAGAGCGGTCGCTTCGGCAGGCTTCGCCTTATGTCTCCTGGCCGAAATCAGTCCCAGGTTCTTTAGGTGGCCATAGATGTTTACGTGGTTTTTCCTCCGGACGGGAGTGAAGGCGGGTTAGGTCTGAGGCAGATGCTTTCCTGTGTCTTGCTGTCTTCACTGCAGAACTCCCAGCCACGCTGGAGCTCTCTGAAGCACACTGAGGGGCCTGATTGTGTGAAAGAACCCCAGGGACCACAAATAAGGGGGAGGCACAGCTCCCAGAACTACCAGGTGGCTGCGCCTCAGCTGTGTAGCAGACTTTAGGGTCCTCAGTGGAAACACTAAGTGCTAACGAGATTTGGCTTAGAGCAGGACCCACAGGCTTCGGGGTGCAAGCGCTCCCTGGAAGGACCATGAAATAAACCATGGCAAGCAGAAAGGAAAGGGGCGCAGAGACTCACTTATGTCGTTCTTCACTGTACCGGGGCTCCTTTCTCAAAAGGAAAAACACAAAGTGGGACTTGTGTGTTTTAAAGTAAGTTACATAAAATGCTTTGGTAAACAGACCGAGGAAATTTTATAAAGAGGGCGATGCCATGGGGGCCACTCTGGAGCACAGCGTCTGAAAGGAACACTGTGGGGAGGAGGCGGAAGGTGGGAGCACTGCCACCTTCCCTGGGGCTCACAAGCAGCCTCGGGGCTCATGCCCCAGACAGCCGTTCCCTGGGGAGGAGACTGGGTCCTTCTCAGCTCAAAGGAGCAGATCTTGAGTGACCTAATCATAAACCTTCCAGGATGTGAGCTATCCTCAGTATGTTTTGTGAAACCAATTTAGCAGCTCATGACTAGAATTTATAATCTTTTTTTTTTTTTTTTTTTTTTTTTTGGTATCAGGAATCAAACTCAGGGCCTCACATTAGCATTTTAAAAAATGAAAACGACATGGTAGCACACACCTATAATCCCAGCATGCAGGAGGCTGAGGCAGGAGGATCACTGTGAGTTCAAGGCCAGTCTGAACTGCATAGCGAGACCCTGTCTCAAAAAGACAAAATAAAAATAAAAAGTGAAGTGGAATACAGTGTTCTAGGAGGCAGCCCAGGCATCCTTAGGAGTAGCTGAAGAAAACGCAGACATGGCAGTGGAGCTGGGCTGACACCAAGACAGTCAGTTAGGATTCCATAAAGCTAAATCCTCCTCGTCTTACACGTTTACAGCTTTTGCATCTCCAAGGGGAAACCTGATGTCCGCTGACCTGTGACATAAAAAGTATTTCTTGTGGAGTTACAAAAGTTGGAAAAACTGATCTAAGCCAACAAGAATGTGTTACTTGAATGGAAATCACAATAAAAGCAGGACTCTGTGTTTGGATTGTATCTAGAGGCCCCCCCCAAGCACTCATGCAGTCATGGTTGGGGCTGCTCAGAGGCAGGGCACCCTGCAAAGTGGCGGAAGACACAGGAAGCAGGGAGACAAGGGTGGAGCCAGCGAGGGGCGGGACCCTCCCCTCCCTGGCCACTCCCCTCCCTGGCCACGCCCCCACTGTGTCTTTCGGACCAGCCCCACCCCCTGGCTGCAGGTCACTGTGAGCCCTGGGAGCCACACACCAGCTGCAGCTGCACTTCTGAACAGGACAGGGAGTAGGGGGCCTTCAAGGTCTGTACCACGTACCCTGCTCCTGTGAAAAATCCTTAGACCCTGTTGGCATTTGATCTTAGCCCAATGCAAAGCCTGGTTCAGTCTTGTGCCTTCAGACAGGGCTTCCTGAGCAGCTGCCAGGGTAATTTCATTTTCTTTTATTTTAAAGGGTAAAACATTTCACACTCGATCTTTTCCACGTGCTGTAACCCTCTTTGATGATCTTTTACAATTTCAGGTCAACGTGACAACAAAACCAGTAAATCATGGCATTCCACTGGCCATTTGGAAGATTCTGGAAATGAAAGGTAACCTCCTTTTAGGCTTTTAATTTTGCGTTCCGCTCAGTGATGTTCGAGCAGGGTGAGTTCGGCCTGGGACTCCCTGTAGATCAGAATGAATTCTTCTGGGACGTTATTTATACCTCGTCCCACAGTGCCACCCAGTGAACAGTCCAAGGCAGACAGACAGACAGACAGAAAGAAGGACTGGAGGGAGGGTGATTGATCTTTGCTGCAGGCGCACAGATTTAACTAGTGACACTGCCTGGCGGAGGGAAACAGCGCTTTAACTCTGGACTGTGTCTGCCGGTTTTCACGAGCCCCTGTCCGCCTGTGAGTCTGGTGAATTCAGGGCAAACGGTGTGGTAGGTCCCGCTGGTCCTCTGTGTCCTTCCAGATGGTGTCTGAGGAGCTCAGGGCGAGGGGCTTCACCTGTGGGCAGTGAGCAGAGATGCTGAGCGAGGGTCCCAGGGTCGGCATCCTGGTGCTCTGCCAGGATTGGTAGTGCAGTCAGTTCTCTGAGCTCGGCCACAGCCTCGTCTCTGCTCCCTTTAGCAGAGGCTGTGCATCCACCGGGAGGAACCTTTGCTGCAGGCCACCTCCAGCCACGAGGGCGGGCTCACTGTCCACATCCCGCCTGAGGCACACCAAGAGAGGGCTGGGATGGAAACGGGCCACCCACTCTCAGCACGAAGCTCCTGTGAAAGCTGTTAGAGGAGCTGACCAGCGCCTCTGGGGTCTCCTTTGCCCACCTGATTCTCTCCATGCTGGCTCAGAGCCTGCAGAAGCACAGGAGTGACATCTACCTCCACCCCTGCTTTTGCTGTTTGCTCCCACAAACCCAGGCAGGACAAAGTGGCCTCACGTTGACAATCATGTGGCAGGATTGGTGGCAGCGTGGGCAGTGGATTCTGGGGACATGGAGAGGCAGACAAGAGCCAAGAAATTGAGGTCAGCCCTGTAAACAGTGCCTTGTTTGCGAGGCATGATGGCTCACGTCTATAATCCCCACACTCGGGAGGCTGAGGCAGGAGGTTCACTGTGAGTTCAAGACCAGCCTGGGCTACAAAGTGAGCTAAAGGCTGAGCTGGACTACATAGTGAGACCCTGTCTCAAAAAGATTAATAAATATATAAAGCACTGGCCTATCCACTTTCAGGAGGATGTGTCCTCCCTCGGCGAGTGACTTGCGGTCAGAGGAAAATCAGTCAGCCCCAAAAGACCGGGCAAGTACATGTGGTTCAGTGGCGAAGCGCAGCCTGCTGCCCCTGTGCTTTGAGGACGAGCTGAGAAACCCGAACGCCAAGGTCATCCAGGTGACTCCGGGGAGGAGTGAACCTTCTCACAGGGTAAAGCGCAACACCTGCTGCTGTCGAAAATCTGGCCTCTGCAAAGGCTGGAGACCATTGCTGCAACAAGGCCCAGGCAGGGATTATGAGGACGGCTTAGACTGTGCCTCAGGGTGGGGAGGGGATACTCTTGTTGCAGGCTGGCGGCTGAACTCAGGGCTACTGCGCTAAGCTGCAGCCCTAATCTTTTTTTGAGAAACATTCTTGCTAAATTGCTGAGATGGGGATCAAACTTGTGATCCTCCTGCCTCAGCCTCCCTGAGTACTGGGATTAGAGGCCTGTGCCATCTGGCCCCATAGAAACGATGCTTTCTGAGACGTAGGTTCTGGCACCCTCCCTAGAACAGTTTTCAGGATCCCTAGAACAGGGCTCCTTAGAATAGTTTCCAGGAGCCCTGCTTTTTCACAGTTCCGGCTTTTTCTGAACTGCAGACTGGCAGAGTGTGGGGTGTTTGCTAGGTACGGAGCCCAGAGAGCGTGGCACACAGTCCCTGCCTCACCTGGGCCACAGACTCCTCGGCTGGAAAACACCCGAGGTGCAGAATGGACCGAAACTATGGAGATCTTCTACTCTGTGGTTGGTTAAATCAGCGATTTTTTCATCCTTAGTGATCTACAAATCACTCTTTGCTCATCTTTCCAGGCATTAATGTACCTTTTTTACCAGAATGCTTTGCACCATGATCCTGATTTCTTATTCCACTGGTTATATTTTAAAAGAAAAAGGGAAAGTTATTGACTTCAAATTTGCAAGCTAAACCTGAAAATATGCATATCTGATAAGTTTCTTTGGAGTTAATCTTATTACCATTAGCAAAAAGTAGGACTTGTGAAATCTAACATTGGAAATACAGGAAAAAGCTTAAAAAGTGACTCCTTCAGACAGATTTTGTTATTACTGTGATTAAAATAGTCTGTTTTTAAAGTCAGTCTATTGCTTTGGCTATTTTATTCCACAGAAATATATTGAACATTCATGTCCAAGTATTGTTAAGTTCTGGGGCACAATAATAACTATGACCGAGAAAATTTTTAAAATTTTAACTTGTGCACTCCGGTGCCGAGACACTAAAGTGCTGACGTGCAGTCACGTTTGGCTGCTGTGTTCTTTGACTCAATCCTTGCGTCGGGAGGCTGTTTGCTTTGTTATTTCCGGAGCATACTGACCTAAGAAACGCTATCACCATGTTCCATCCTGCCAATTCTCTTGTAGCTCATTTAAGAAATGCATTTATGTCTTCATAGCCCACTTTATTTCAAAAAGGATTTTAGAAGAGCAAAGGTTCCAACTCGATGCCTAACACCTGAGCAGAATATTAAGCCGGCCAGGCACAGGGGAGCACATCTGTCATCCCAGCACTTGGGGTGCTGAGGCAGGAAGATTGCCAGGAGTTTGAGGCCAGCCTAAACTCAACCCTGTCTTAAAAAATATATCAAGAAGATATATTATATATAAGCACTTGTGTATTTGTGTATATAAGTTTGTGTATTTGAACACTACCATTGTTCATAGTAAATACCTCTGTGTAGTCATTTTTAGAATATTTTCCAATTTTACTTTCATGTTTAAAAATGTAAGTAGCTTTCTTGCCTCAAAAGATCCATGACTAAGGACCCTTTTCTTTAATCCACAGGTTCAAGATGACAGGAAACCCATAATTTTCCATGAATCACAATATGTGCAAACATTACTCTTGACAAAAAATAGATTTTCCACCCACATTCTGGAAAACGAAAAAATTCATCCATGTAAAAGGACCAACTTTGTTTTAGAAAGAAACTGTGCAACCCTCAAATCTTTAGATAATGGTACATTTATTACTCTTTCCAGACCCCAAAAAACACCGCACACTGCAGGGAGAAGAGATGGACAAGCCAAATCTCATGAAACAGGCCACAGGACCATAAAAAGTAAACTGAGGAGGAAGACTAAGGATCAGACTCCAGGAACCGGGTCTTGGAGTACACCTCATGGTCTCCCACAGACTCTCTTCAGCCCAACAGAGAAAGCTGCGGCTAACCTGGGTGTCAAAACCGGTATTCAGGAAAGAAGGACGGCGGCTGCCAAGCTTGGGGGAACATTTTCTACCCGTAAACCAGGAAGCCCACACAAATTCAATGCCTTCCCCCCTGCAAGCCACTTAAAGCCTTTAAGACATAAACTCGACCTACGAAAACTACACAACGCCACGCCGCTGGATAATCTGTTAACACTTGCCAAAGGAAAATTAAGCGGCTCCCAAGACACTGTCTACCCAGCAATATTGGCCTGACAAGAAGCAGATCACCAAGTTCCACAGTCCTAGAAGTTCTTACCCAAACAGTGATGATCTGATCCATAGGATAGAAGCTGGAGTTAGAGGTTGACAGTGATCTGGTCAAGAGCAGTCAACTAGATTGATCAGCTGTCACTGTTCCCGCAGGGAAGCCTGATTCCCGACCAACAAGGGTGCAGGCAGGCTGGAAATTTGCCGTTGGGAGCTGAATTGCACTATAATTTGCTATCAAAATGGATAAATATCACTGACTTAATAAATGCAGAGTTAATCATACAACAGCATCTTTTTGGAATCATAGGAAAACAGTATGACGTTAGCAATTCATGCAGTTAAAAATGCTTTGTAACATTTTAAATGGCTTTTTTTCATTAACATTGCTGACACTTAATTACTTAATATTTAAAAACACATTATTACATTGCCATTTTGCTGTTTCTTGTTAACTTGCCATTAACTCAAATATTATAAAGGCAGGATTCATCTTAGAAATAAGCTACAGCTCAAAAGCCCGCTTGTATCCATTTCCTTGGAATTCAGAATGTAATTCACACAAAAATAACCTCGGAGTCATGAGGTGTGGCTGAGTGGTAGAGTGTTTGCCTAGCACGCACAAGGCTCTCGCTTCAGTCTCCTACACAGGAAAAGAAAGGACCTTGGAAGTGCAGTAATTAATTCCAAATTACCCCCCAAAAGACTACATAACTTGCAATTTTACCTCATAGCATTTATGTGAAAATAGAAAAGGTGATTTTGATTATTCATTTGTTGTCTTTTTGAGACAGGGTTCACTATGTAACCCAGGCTGCCCTCAGACTTGCAGCGACCCTCCTACCTCAGCCTCCTGAGTGCTGGGATTACAAATGTGCACCACCACACCTGGCTTAAAGCACTGATTTTTAAATTCCAATAGTTAGAAAAGAAAACAATAAGAAAATGATTGTTTCCATCTGACCCCTCAGTGCTGTGGAGAGGCAGGCTGGGTTAGAAGCATGGAGGCCAGTGGTGGCAAACCTATGGCACGCGTGCCTCAGCAAGCTGTCGGTGTCACTGAAAGGTTTGCCATGACCTCTCCACGCTAAGGGAAGGCTTGGGGGCATCTGCACTTTCACGAGTGGGCAGGTGAGCCGCTCCTGCTGCTGCTGTCAGGGGTGAGCCCAGATGATACACCACAGTGCTTTCACTGAAGCTCCCAGCAGGGCTACAAGGAGGGCGGTGGCAGCCTGCGGGAGAGAGGAATCCCAGACAGTCAGGCTTCCAAACCTAAGGGTTCACACTTTGGCCCGGGTGTCTTCCAGAGTCTGTAGGGAGGGTGACAGGAATGATTGTTGATTAGTGGGGTGCCATCTCAGGGGCCCTCAACACGCACACCGGCCCCAAAGTCACCATGATCTAGTGCAGATTCAAGAACCTTCATGAGGTTGGAGCAAGGGTGTTGAAGCTCAGGCGGGGTGCTAACACGTGCTCTTCCCTCCCTGCAGAGACCCCCTGGGGTCCTGTTTGGTTATTTTCTTCCTCTCTGACACAATGGAAAGGAATGCATAGGGTTAGGGTGCTGTCCAAACTTGAGCCTGTTGTAGAAAATGGAAAGAAACAGCACCAAGGAGGTTTAAGAGGCAGTTTATTAACTGGTGGACCGACTGGGACCTCTCCCAAACAGCCAGATCCCTGCCTAGTGGGGGTTTTGGAGTTTAATGAGAGGAGATCAAGGGGGAGGTACAGAGGCAGATTTTGGTGCATTGGAGGGTTGGTTGATGTCACGGGTTGCTAAGGGAGTTTAAACATTGTAGGTTACACTGTAAGCCATCAGCTATGCAAAGCATGGGTTATACAGAGAAAGAACCTGTCCTGCTACGTTTTAAGTTACATTGCAAGGCCCTCAGTTACAAAGGGCAGCAAAGACAGGGGTCACACAAAAGAAGATTTCAAGTTACGTTTTAAGCCATCTGTTAGACAAGCTTATAGGAAGAAAGGAATGTTTTATTATCAAGTTGGTCTGGACATGTCTGCTTAGTCTTAGCAGGCTTTCCTGGCAGGCTTTTGTTTAAAAGATTAATTTCCCTTTCAAGCCAAGGAGAGTGATTTCTTCAGCTGTTTTCTAGCTGCACTAAACCAGTCTCAGTCAATCCCAGGTGCTCAGCACCCCACACCCAGCTAAAGCACGTGGTGCACACATTTGCCCAGGTGTCTTTGTTACTTTCCTCTGTTGCTGGGACAAAATATCTGGTGCCTAAAATTAGAGGAGGAAAGGTTTATTCCACTCAGGGTTTGTGGAGGTTTCAGTCCATAATCTGATGGCTCCAAGGTAGGGTGGTGTGGTGGGGAAACACTTCAAAGGGGAGAAGACAGCAAAAGCAACCAAAGCAGGAAAAGGAGAATGAGCCTCTTGTCCTGCCTTCCTAGGGCGGGTCCTTTACACCCACACTACCTCTGTGCCCTCCTGCTGCACAGGCTGAGGGTGAGGACCCTGGGCCCCTGCTGAGTGCTTAAACTTCTGAGCTTCTCAAATTGACACAATGTGCAGATGCCTAGCAGACCTCAGGCATACAGTTTCTCCCCTTAGTTCTGCACTGAAAATGCGTAGCAGTGTCTGGTGGGTCTGTGCTGTGGACCCCGCTGTTCCACTGGATGAGCACTTGATCTTCCATCCGGACACTCAGGCAGGAGAGTCCTGCATGGATCCATGGGCTGCTCCACCCTGAACCGTGCTGTCCTGACAGCTCCAACTTTGTGACCATTCACCTACCACTGCCTCTGCCTCCCAGTGGCTTTCTTTGAATTAGAAGGAATTATTTTCTAGCTCTGCCCCCACATCAACCCAAATCTTCCAGTGTATTTTTTTTTTTTTTGAGACAGGGTCTCCCTATGCAGTTTAGGCTGGCCTTGAGTTCACTTGGGAGCCCACGCTGGTCTCGAATTCATAATGATCCTCCTGCCTCAGCCTCCCAAGTGCTGGGATTATAGGCATGAGCCACCATGCCTGCATTTTTTACCCCCACTGTGTTTTCCCAAAAGCAGATGTGTCAAAGATGATTCTATCACATAACACATAAGATTTTAAAAGATCCTTCAACCGATGCTTCCGGAGATGGGAAGCCCACAATGCATGTGGGTGGGTGACAGGGACCAGGACACCTAGAATCCCCCGCATGCTCACAGCCTCCCCTTGCTTCCCTACCGCACACCTTTGAGACGCAGACTGTGGTGGTCTGCGCAGCAGAGCACAGAGCGCCATGTAGCCCCACACCCTCCGCCACTCCTGCAGCAGCAGTCTGCACCGAGCCCTGCACCCTACTCGGGTCAGGGCTTCCTGGAAATCACCCAGTTACTTGCCCACCACAAGCTCCTTTTCTGAGGACACCACCAGAGCAGTCACGCCCTCCCCTTTGCCATTCCATAAGCAGCAATCTGGAAAGTTCTCTTCCTGGGGCACAGAGGAATAGGTCCTTAGCACAGAAGGTAAATATGGAAGGTGCGATTAAAAATACGATGAACATTTAACTAAAAGTAGTTTATTCCATTGAGACACCTTACAGGGTCCCACGGGCTCCCTCGGGCTTCAAACACATTGATTCCATCATTCTCACCACTTTTTTTTTTATTGGTACCAGGGATCGAACTCACGACCGCCTGCTTGCAAGGCAGGCACTTATGCCGCTGAGCTAAATCCCCAGCCCCTCTTGTCACTTTCTGATAGGTAATAAACTGAAGACACTGAGGTTATATTCCGCTGCAGGGAGATCAGTTCTATCTGTAGAGAGAAATTTTATCTGTTTTGGGCCCTGAACTGTTACTGGTTTTCTCAAGTCAGCCTCTTGCACACAGCCAGTGGGAGGCGCCTTCCTGCAGACCTCATTTATCACGGGCCATGGATTCCTAGCCCTCTGCCAAAGGCTGCAGTGATCATTGCTCTTGCTCCTAAATACTGGGTTTTAAAAAATTTCTCTTCTGCCTGGAGGCCATTCAGAAAGTCCCCACGGACAACTTGCTTTTCTCCAGAAGAAGGTGCATATGAAGAGAAGGGAATTTTACATAATACCCAAAGAGACAGTTAACACAGGTCACTGTGAAAGCCGGGGGATAATAGTAACAGTAAATCCTGTCTGCTGCCTGCTTCACCCTAAGGAATTCCTTTATTTTAGCAAAGAAAAGAGGCAGGCTATGCGTGTTCGGCTATGGCAGGACAGCAGGAAAGAGGGGTAGGACTGGTCAGCCAAGCGGCCTGCCACAGGCAGGCTCCAAAGCAACCTTGAACTAGCCTGCAGAGACAGCAGTTCACCGCATCCGACAGCGCACTTTTCTGTGAAAAATTGTCTGCTTTCAAATACCGGCTGCCCACGGGTTGGAAGCTCTCACTCAAGGGCTGTAATCGCAGTCAGTGGCTCTGGCAACAGTTTCATTGCATGTTGCTCTCTGTGGTCTTTTCTGGGGCAGGGGTGTTGGGACTTCAGAAATCAAAACGTCTTGAAAATCTTCTGGACTAGAATGGTCTAATCAAATGTGTAATTACACTCAAGATTAAAATTAGACTCATATCTTTCACACTGTGCTAAACTAAAATCAAAATGGAGCAAGGATCTAATTATTAAAGTGGAGACTCTAAATCTTCTGGAAGACAGAGTAGGTGAAGCTCGTGACAGCATTGGTGAAGGCAAAGACTTCGTGAACGAAATGCTGATCGCACAGGAAATACCACAACAACAACTTGGATCTCATCTTAAACAATGCTGAGATTTCATCTCACCCCAGAAGGAAGGGATATTATCAAAAATATAACAACACATGCTGGCAGGGCTGTGGGGAGAAAGGAGCCCTTCTCCACTGCTGGTGGGAGTGCAGACTGGTGCAACCACTGTGGAAATCGGTGTGGAGATTCCTCAAACACCAGGACTAGAGGTTCTGTTTTACCCAGCTATTCCCCTTCTGGGTATCTTTCTGAAAGAATTAAAAGCATCATGCCACAGTGATATGTGTGCACCTATGTTTATGGCAGTACAGATCTTGGAAACAACCCAGATGTGCTGTGATGGCTTCTGTCTGGAGGCCCCCCAAAGTCCCCCGCGGTCACAGGGCTTTTCCAGAGGTGGCTGAATCTAGAGCGGGTGGTGCTGGGATCTAGTGTGTGTGGTTAGTAATTCAGTCCGCTGCCGGGTTTGGCGTAATTCTGGCCGAGGTGAAGGGTGTGAGCGCGGCCCCTTCCCCAGAGTAAGCGGCCTGCCTACAATTTAAGGGGCAGAAGGAGCCTTTCTCCTCTCTGCTTTGCTGTCTTCTGCTGCCACGAATGGTTGCTCCTTTGCTATGTACCACCCAGCCTTGGAGCCAGCCAATTATGGACTGAAATCCCTACAAAGTGTAAGCTAAATAAACCTTTTCCCTGTTAACTTTGGGTGTCAGGTCTTTTGTTTTAGTGATAGAGAAAAGTAACTAAGACATGCCCATCAACCAATGAATGGAGATGTGATTGTTTGATACAATGGAGTATTACTCTGCCATAAAGAAGGATACACTTGAGATGCTTCTAGTTAAACAGATCCTGGAGACCACACTTGTAAGTGAAATGAATCAGACATACATGTTTAAACACTGCATATTCCCTGGTGTGAGAAACTGAAAGTGTAAATAAGGACCAAAATGTATAACAGATGCAGAGAAATGGGAAGAAAATGTTCAAATGAGAAGAACAGGGAAGGAGAAAAGGAAAGAAAAGATAAAAAAGGAAAAATGGAAATGAAGCTTTTGCAAATAAGGAAGGGAAGAGAGGTTG